GGCCACTCGGATTGAACAGCCAGACGCAGGGAGTTTCAAACGGGTGCAGTTTAATCTCGACCTTTCTTTTCATCGACACCGTGAAAACTGTAGTAGCCTATAAAACAAAAGGATACAGAACCGTCGGACATACTCAGCTCTTATATAAAACCACAGAAGGTAAAATGGTTTAGCTACAACAGGAATGAGAGTCAAAGGCCGACGCTCAACAGTTGATTTATTTGCATGGCTCTCAGCAACTTCATTTAAATACGAAAACCCCTGCTAGGCCCAAGGAGAGGGGTTTGATAGGGGAACACGGACACACAGCGTTTTTGACCATTCTTGGCAGTGCTCTACCATTTTCCACTCTGACAAAAACCTCTTGCCGATAGCCCTCAATCTCCATGCGCACGGCAGAACTAGGTGTCAATAGCTGTCGAAAATCACACATTTCATGCAGTGGACATTCTTGCTGTAAGCAATCATATTGCAGCTAATAGCAATCTATAATAATAATAATAATAATAATAATAATAATAATAATAATAATAATATACATTATTATTATTAACTACTTTTCTTTGTCTCGAAATAAAGATTTTCTTTCTGTGTAAAAGGTGGTATTCATGCACGAACCGCCACTGGGATTTCGATAAAGCAATGGAACTGTGTCGGATTTTTTATTAAGCGGTGTTTGTCTCCACCTGGCGGCTGAATCACATTATGCATGTTTGTTTTTCCACTGAAATTTGCAGCTTCTGTTTATGTCTTTTAAAGTGAGTTAGTTATTTTACCTTTGGGCTTGAAGGAACAGCAGGGCCGAGCGCAAATCGTGACACCGCACCTACTAATGGCACTTCCGATGGCCGGTTGCTGTCTCTCTGAAGGAAACAGTGTGAAGTAAAATAGCATACTTTTTTTTGTTTAGTTTTGTTTTAGTAATGCGAAAGTAAATGGAGTACTCTTCACAAATGGTGTTTCAGGGCGTTGGCAATAATTAGGCCGACATGCCTGAAGTTGTGTGCTGGGTTCCACAGTAAAAATGTGTCTGAGCCCTCCCGCCTTCCCTAAAATTTGCATTCAGAGCAGCAGAGCTCCTCCCTCATGTTTCAGGTTATCCTTCACAAGCAAGTCACTCCTCCAACCGGACTTTCCTACCGAGTCTTCCCAGCTGAGGAGGAAATCAGTCGGTGGCGAATCACCAGTTTGCAGACAGAGAACTCCACGGAGGAGCTCTTTAGAATCCTGCGTGTTTTTTTTTTTTCCTAACTTCGTGGACTCTCCCAAACTTTTTTTTTTTTTTTTTTTTTTTTTTTTTTTTTTTTTTTTTGCTTTGCGGTTTTTTTTTTTTCCGTTTGTGCTGCCCGCCC